GGGATGGGTTGCTATGTTATCCACGTTATGGTTACGAATCCGTGTTGAACCATTAATTGTATCCCGCATGTCACGTTTGATGTGCCGTAACGCAGGAGTTGGAGTGCCACCTCCCAGTTCACATCTTATGCCAGAATAAATTTAGCAGCCGCTGTGGGAACATAATACATTTAATCCTCGTACTAAAAACAACAAAATGGACGCTCTCATGTCGTCTTCCTCGCACATAACATCAGTGACGTAACTATCGATCGCACGAAGCGCCACTGGTGTTTCGTTTCAGAGATACATCACGCATCAAATCAGTTTTGTGTGTACCGATTGGACTAAGATTTGGAGGTCATGTCCGTCCGCATATTTAATTTCCGAAACAAGGATTGGGTTTCGTTAGCTACATTCCAGGAACTGCTCTCCCTAATAAAACTTCCTTAACACCGAAATGTTCCTTTCTAAACTGTTATATTTAATGGAGTTAGGAGCCGTGACAGCCCACTCGCTACATCGATTGGCTTTGGATGTGTGGAAATCGTTTCCCGGCAGGGGTAAAAATACTTCTGTACTCAATAGCGTCCACGCCGCTTCTGCACCCACCCAGGCTTCTCTATGCTGCGTTCCGGTGCCTCTATCCCCGGATATAAAGCGGTTGGAGCTTGACTCTGACCACACATCTCCAGCTTGTGCCTAGGTCAAGAATGGTGGATGTATACCTCTGCTCTCTCATAAGTCTTTGTGGCATGGGGCTTAATTATTTAAGCACCGTAAAAGTAAAAAAATAAAATTATCCCTGTAACAGGCCGCGAAGGCCCATAGGGTAGTGAGATGTTGAGGCTCCCACATTTTCTCTGGAAATCAGCTCGCAGATGGCGGTCAGGTTGTCAGCCTTACGCGCCGACCGCCCTTTACCCCCAGGAATAATCCTGATACTCATTTATTTTAGAGGCTCAGTCGACACCAAGGCCATAGTGCGGGTGTATGGATTTAAGTAAATTGAAAAAATCACGTCATCGGGATTCGATTCTGCGGCCTTCCGGTTTGTAGCATAGTGCCTCAACCAACTACGCTACCGGGCAACTTTATCTTATACTTTTATATCCAACAGAATTAAGTGTTTGTTGTCTTTATTATAGCTCTGTCGATATGGCAGAGTACTGCCCAAGAATTTAATAATCGCCAGTTCAAGATATTCTCTGCAGTTTATGAAGCTCAAAGTTTATTGCCCTATTTACGACAGCCCATTATGGGCGAATTAACATTACTCATTGTTGGTAAAATGAATCAAATGTGCACCCTTTTGCCTTCTTTCAGTGGCAGTCATTGCAGCGGCTATTCTCCCGCCTACCCAGAGATCTTACTAATTCCCGTTGTCCAGACTAAAGTCATGTCCGACTGTATTATCGGGAAACATATGTGCATTGAAACTTAAAAAGAATATCTGAAAGAACAGTTATTTTAAAAGACGCCGAATCGCAAACAGTAAGACATTTGGAAATTGCGTTAATTTTAATAAATGCATTTGCTTTGTAATACCTAATAACACAACCCGAATTTACTGTTAGTGTTGTAAAAATAAGTTATACAGTTTTTATTATTGTGCCTGTTATGAAAATGGTAATAACAAAACAACAAAAACAAACTCCGTGACCTGTAGTTCACAAGCGAACTGTACCGATCGCCGCTTGTCGGCGAAGTTAGTGCCAACTTTAGCGGATGGAGGATGTCGCGTCGTCAGAGCAGCTGATCCCCACGGCCGTTAAGCTCGGATTTCTAGACCGGAGCCGCTATTTCCTTGAAATAGCTCCTCATTTATCGTCACGAGGCTGAGTGGACCCCGTTCCAGACCCACTACTTCTCAGAAAATCTGGTAACGACGGGAATATAACCCGGGACCTTTGGATCTGTAGCCAGAAACTCTGACCACTACACCACAGAGACGGTGTATAAAAGACGTAATTGCGTTGGTTTAATTAAAGATGCCTCTTCAACATCTTACTGTATCTGGCGTCGACTTGAAGGTGATTACAGGATTGTGATCTGAGGAGCACGTGGAAAAAAGCGGTCATGGCCTATGGCAAGACAGGATCCAGGCATTTGTCTGACAGGGCCGAAGAAGAGCACAAAATCCCTCTGTCAGCATAAACATCTCCAGGACCCGATTTGAATCCTGTCTCCTGAACACTAGACCGAAATACTAAGCACTCTAACAAGGAGCCCGTTGATGAAAGGATGAATATTGTGGATATGCTTTTGAAATAAATGCGTTCTCATTATGGAACACAGTTTTGAAATCTGCGGTCCAAAAATGCTTGGGTAGCAGGGGATATGCAGTGGTGTGTCTAGTATTGCAGGAATGTTACTGGCATGCTCTCTGCCACAGCACGTGGTGGAAGATAAACGCTGATGTTTCTAGCGTGCTCCATAGGATTGACCCTCTAAATACTGAATTTCTTCGAAATAATTTATGAGAAGTCGTTTTGTACCTCACTGGGAACACTTTACATCTTTGCTACAAACATCAGCCGGTTACTACTTTCTTGAGGAAACAATCGCTGTGCGCAGGTCCAGAGGATGCAGAGGACGTACAGGATGACAAGGCTGCAAAAAGATGTGAATGATTCAGAGGATGTAGAGGATATGGAAGATGCAGAGAATGCGAAGGATACAGAGGATGTAGAAGACGTGGAAGATACAGAGAACGTACAAGATGTAGAGGAGGTAGAGTATGTGAAGGATTTAGAGGATGTAGAGGATGTGGAAGATGTAGAGAATATACAAGATGTAGAGGATGCGGAGGATGTAAAGGATGCTAAAAGTGTACAGTAAGCGGAAGATGAAGAGGATGCGAAGGACACAGAGGATGTAGAGCAAAGAAAGGATTCAGAGGATGTAGAGGATGTGGAAGATGCAGAGAATGTACAGGATGCGGAGGATGCAAAGGATACAGAGTATCTAGAGGATGTAGAGGATTCAAATGATACAGAGAATGTGAAGGATGCAGAGGATGTAAAGGACATGCAGGAAGCGGAAGATGCAGAGGATGTCGAGGGTACGTAGGATATAGAACTGCTGGGCTTTAGAGGGTTAAGAAGTAGAACAGTATTATCACCTTTCATTAAAGTTTCCATGGAAACCGCGTCCATCATTATTAGTCGTGAATAGGGCGAAATGTGTCAGGTGTGGATGGATTGATAAATTGAATTGTGGAAACGAGCATTGTTTTCAGTGCAGCCAGGCGTACTATTTATGTGTACAGAATTTCCATAAAAGACAGTGTAATAGAAATTGCTGTTCATGTTACAGAACCTGTTTGCAGGTGTATTCTATTCGAGGGATACTTTCTCGTTTAAAATTCCGCATGCTGAGTGACTGTTCTCACTGAAGGAGTTTTACTGACTCACGGAAAAGATTAAGGCAACAAAATTTTGTTCTTCAAGGTATGATGTTCCTTTTAGACTTTTGGAAGCAATTCTTTTCTCGCGGATACTACCACGTCACACTGTGGCCCAGCCTCAAGCTGTATCCATATTTATTTAGCGGCCTGCCTTACCTTTCGAGCTTTAAATGTCGGGAATTTTATATTTTTTTAAGTGCAGAAATTTTCTTTCGTAAAATATTGCCATATAATGTAAATAAGATGAAACCTCATTGGACATAATTTATGTCATTACGAAGCTGATATCTCTACGAGAATGGATTTAGATATTTTGGATTTGAGGCTATCACAGTGGTGAGTGTGAAGGAGTCTGTATACTGGGATGTAATACCATGCAGTCCGGTAAAGGTATTAAGTTTCGGAGGGACATATCTCTCTGCTTGCTTCCTTCTTCATGTTGATCTCTTGTCTTACTCTTACTCACTCATGGAGCTGAGTGCTTCTTGAAGAGCCGCCAATTCTGCAACTACTCAAGAAATTCCCAGCACTTTATGGAACCCGAAGGTTCATTACTTTGTTCACAAGAGCTCTCCACTGGTCCCTATCCTGAGCCAGATCAATCCAACCCATACCATCCCATACCATCCTATCTCTCTAAGATCCGTTTTAATATTGTCGACCCACCTACGCCTTGGTCTTCCCAGTGGTCTCTTTCCTTCCAGCTTTCCCACCAATGTCCTATATGTATTTCTCGTTTCCCCCATTCGTGCTACATTCCCTGCCCACCTCATCCTCCTTGACTTGATCATTCTAATTATACTTGGAGAAGAGTACAAGTTATGAAGCTCCTCATTGTGCAGTTCTCTCCAGCCTCCTGTCACTTCATCCCTCTTCGGTCCAAATATTCTCTTGTCTTACTCTTCAACCATGGAAATGGAAGGGAATGTTCCTCCGAAATGTCGATTCACTTTCAGCGGACTACACGGCGTTATATGCGAGAAGACACAGTTCCTCGGAAATAGAAACTGATTAGCTCTTAGAAGGTTAACGATTAAAATAGAACACGATCTATTACTTAGATATGCCTCAAGTTCATCATTCATAATCATTTTTCCATTCGATGTTACATCATTTCAACAGTTGATGCAGTTCCTTAGTGAATGTTGTGTAGAAGTGAAATATGCTTTGAGAGGTCATCATTACTGTAATCTATATACCCCTGCAAGAACGCCTCACTGACCCCGGCTAATGCAATTATTGACGCCAACTCTGATGACGTCACGTTTCTGCTATCTTCTCGCTCTTGTCTTGTTCGAGTTTTGAATCGGATTTGAGCGACCATGGCCTGTTTTAGATGCAATGACAATCGCCCCCAGACTGCCGCCTGAAATCCAGATGCCAGAGAAATGGTCCTATAGCAAGAGTGGGTGATCGTGCGGAATGAATTTGAAATGGCTCAAGATTTGATCCAATGGCTATGTTTTGTTAAAACTGTAATTAACCTTCTGGTTCCATTTAAGCAACGAATTTCTTGACCAGCTGAGGAACTATCAGCACACAAGAAAGGTCCATGAATGCTTGTCTACTAATCCATAGCATTAAAATAAAGAAGTAAGCTTTGAGGACTTACCCCGTCAGGACTGTACTTTGACAGAGGTCCTGTCCCGCTGAATTCCTCCAGGACATCCCTCAGTTTTTTGGTTGAGTCTGAAAAAACAACAATCAGTACTATAATATTTTTCTCGTGTGCGTACAATTATAAAAAAGACTTCTACTTTCAAGAGAATATTAACATATTTCTTCCAAATGTTGTTAACTATGTACAAAACTACACGGTGTCATAACTCAGAAGTTCACATTCTTACTTTTCGCCGCCTTGAAAATCTCAGATTTCATCTATAAAAATTGGTTTTCCGTTGGACCTTGTTACTGCTTGTAATGGTTATGAAATAAGCGTCATTCTGTGAGTACAAGGGAAGACAACGCTGAAGCACACACAGCAAAGGTAGAAAGGACTGAAATAGCCGTGTAGTTCTCATTACAAACAACATTTATTTTTCTGAACCTCGTTAACCGGTTGAGCCTTTCACTGGAGTCGTAATGCGTTTCCCGTGAGGTAAAAGTAAAGTTGTTCCCGTACTTAGCTAAGAAATCTCTACGCCATGAAGGTGTATGGGGGAGTGGATGTATAGACCCATGTTTCCTTGACCTTAGCATTAGTTGGAGGTGAGTGATCAGCTTCACGACCCAGTCGCTTTAGCCCCGGGAAAAGGGCCACCAGTACCCATTGGATAGGAGGCTGAGTGGGCCCCAGACAACACGGAGAAGTGAAAATTCTTGACACCACCGGAAATCGAAATCCAATCCCTCGGCCGCCCAGCTAGTAGCTAGTTGCTCTTCCCTTGAGGTATGAACTTGGTTTTAACACATAAGTAGAAAAAGTGTCCTCATATGTTTAATCCAGTTATTTTTGTGTTTTTCTCATAATTGCTCAAATATGAGAACAGTAATTCTGTAAGACGCTGATAAAAAAGATTGGCCTAGCCGGTATTGCAGAGAAAACTTAAGTATATTTTCATGTAGGTGCACGCGGTAGCATAGTTGGTTGAGGCACTATGTTACAAGCCGGAAGGTCGCTGGTTCCAGTCCCGATGAGGTAGATTTTTTCAATTTACCTAATCCTTCTAGCCGCACTATGGCCCTGGGGTCGACTCAGCCTCTAACAGAAATGAGTACCAGGAATCTTCATGAAGGTAAAGGCAGCCGACGCGTAAGGTTTACAACGGCCTGTTACAGGGATATCTTTACCCGTAAGTTCATGCAGCTACAGTAGAATGAAGGACATAGCAGTAGTAGGTTAAAGTTAACAAACCCCATGACAGTATGGAAAGACTGAGACATTTAGGAACGACAGGTTATATATAGGATGAACTAGAGAGAAGCTGAATTTGAGGCACTAATGCCACTACTCATTTCTGAACCAAATGTTTTTTTCGTCTTCATGCGCCGGTTGTTGGGTGATGAAATGTTTCTGCTTCTGGCTTCAGGCGAGAGCCAGACTTCCAGACAGTATTGGTTCTGTTATTTCTGTTTTATTATACGTATTTCTGATGCGTACATAGGTCCCAAAATGGAGGATGAGAATGTATCGAGTCGTGTACGAAGTAGTGATCAGCTCTTGTACATTAGGATTGGCAAGAACCTTTTCTATAACCACAAAGAATTCAAGAATTTCATGAAGATTGTTCAGTGGGCCGGAACATATTATCCGTTGGGCGTCAAGCTTTCATACCAGTCGCGTCAACATTGCGGTTCTTTCAAGAAGTAGGAAATTGTCAGCAGCATCGAATGACACGTTTAATGTTCATCAACAGCCTTCTGGAAAATATCACCGGTCGCGTGGTATGTAAAAACCAACTTTTCAGCAGCTTCCGTTTTTGCCCGAAAATTCGCACAAAAAGAATCTATCAAGATTGAGGCCAGCTTTCCGATCTGGGATGCCAGCGCGTGATCACACATGGCAGGCTCTGCAGTTGACCTGAAGGGGAAAGCATAACCCTCCCCCAACACCCATCACAATACAGTGGTGACATGAATCCACCGGACTTCGATGAGTTTCTGGAACCGAAGGGGCGACACACAGTGTGTGACACGTTTCAGAAGCATTGTAGAAGTGACCCCAGCCACTCACATAAAAAATGAGGGCCAGATGACAGGTGCTGACTTACAGAAGAGTTCGAAGACAGTCATATGTTATTTTGTTAAGGAAAATTTATTTTTTTTTTGGATAAGGTGAACTCCATTTTACATAAATTTTGAATCTGAAGATTAAGCTCTGGGGAGAACTAATCACCTACTCTCATTTTATGCGACACGGACGACATAGAAAACGAAGTGTACAACAATTCTTCTATTGTTGCATATATTCGTTGCCGCGGGAACGTATTTACTGAGCGATTGCCTAACAGCGATAAGGGGGATGCAGATACAGACTAATTTGGCTCAGGTGCCATTGTATACATACCAAGTTTAGTAAAGATTGTTTCAGACATTCAAAAGTTGATAGATGTGTGGATGCACACAGACAGACAGCAACGTGATCTGATATACCTACTGTTATTGTTTAAAAATAATGAAACTTGACTGAGAATCCATGACTTCATATTTTCTGTAAGCCAGCGAGCTTGAGCTATGTCGCGGTCTACAAGAAGAGTTACTAGACAGTCTAGAACGAACCGCTACAACATAGCGACAGCACCAGCTCAGGGAGCAGCCCGTACACACTATACATCACATACGGAATACTGAGCATAGCTCCGTAAGACGTTACCAAGATCATGACCGGTCATGACTACATGAAGAAGGTTCCGATACGCGGGCGCCCCACGTTATAGTCGCTTCTACCGGCATAAAAACCAGGCCAACATGTAGAGGTCGCAGAGTCTTACCGCAAAAACAGGATTTAAACTTTCATGTTTCAATCTTTAGTTTTAATTTTAATCTCTGTATCTTTACTTTTTAATTCTTACTATCTAAGGATTTTCAGTTTTAAAAATTTTGACCAAAAGTTGATACATGTCTTTATACATTTCAATAATTTCAAGACACAATAATGATCCTTATTTGAAGAAATTAGATGATAATTAATTGCAATTCATCAGCTCATACTGCAGCATTTTACGCTTGATGATGACCCGGTATAAGGGTCGAAACATGCTGCGTCTGTAAACATATAGTAAAAGCAAATGTTGATACAGCAGTGTCTTCTTTGTTTTTTAAATACAGAATATTGTTGTGTAGACTACATCCCTTATATACTTTTGTATATCTTATTTATGACACACAACAGGATTAATCTGTTATCTATTAATCTATTAAGATTATCTACCTCTCTATCCGTCTATGCGTCCGCCCGTCCGCCTATTTATCTATCTGTCTATTTACCTATCTATCTGTTTGTCTGTCTGTCTGTCTTGCCGTTACTACCACTTGGAGCATAGGGCATCCGTGAAACGCTTCGTTTCACTTCAGTTTCTTAATCTTAGACAGTTGGTAGGATTCCTTGGACGGGGGATCAGCCCGACGAAAGGCCGCTACCTACATAGAACAACACAAACACAGAATAAATGTAGACAAACATCTATGTTTTGAGTGAGATTCGAACCCACGATCGAAGCGTTCAAGCGGGCAAGGACATTTCGTGCCTCAGACCGCTCAGCCACTGTGGCCGGCAGCCATTATTATTAGGGTCGTCAGATCACGGAGATGGACGGACATGAAGAACAAGGGACGGTGTGTATACAGAATATTAGTCGGGATTAAACATAGATCTTAGACAGACTAGGTAAGAAGGGTATAGACTGAAGTCAAGTGACTAACAACAGGAAGGCCAGTTGTTAAGACTTTTGTTAAGACGTTAATGAACTTTCAGATTCCATAAAATCGGACAATATTTTTTTATTAGATGCACGTCTTTTAAGCTTTTTAAGGAGCTGCATGGAGTTTTCATTCGATTGTATGAGCTCACAAGTCAGAATGTGGAATCAAATTAAAATTATACTTGAGGAGTGACATGCTTCTGTCCGGAAGACTTTACTGCTGACTACAAATATTTAATTATCAGGACATCTGCCTCTCGTGACATCTTACACCTGCGCCTTGCAGTCAGCTCTTCTTGATGTAAACACAGCTTCAACTGAAACCTGCAGCGGCAGAAGACATACTGTCAAACCTGATGGGCCCTTTTGTTCGCTACGCTTTTATATATTTACTATACATTGACGCTTTGAATGAATATATGTACGTATATATTTATATGTACCTGTATAAACGTCAAGCAATATATAAATGTGTGTATGTGTGTGTGTGTGTATATATATATACTGAGAGAGTGTGAAATTTCTGATGTCACGTCGGTATGTAGGACACATTACTGTCTCAGGTATATGATGTCATGTAGTAGGGTAGAAGTTTACCGACGTTTCGGAGGACCGTACTGCCTCCATATTCTTAATAGAAGAGTAAACCAAACAGTAAGAATTTGAGGATCTCACAGCGATGGTTATGAAGTGTAGTGTCCTCTGGGATATAGCGGCGTCTAGTCCTTTGAAGATTAACTGACGTTTCAGAAGAACATATCAACTTCATCTTGAGGGTCGAAGAATAAGATGCCAGAGTGAATTCAGGTGGTCAGTTGACTTTCACGGCGTTGTATTCCGGTAGATAATACTCTTGAATCATTAGGAAACAAATTACCCTGCTTTATTGGACTACGCATGCGCTATGAAAATGAAGGCAGTAAATTCCCCGAAACGTCGGTAAACTAACAAAATACATTGAATGACACTGAAGATGATAACAGAACTCTTCATATATTAAAAGTGTTGGAGAGGAGTAGAATATTTGTGCTTAAATAAAGGTAAAGCTATCCCTGTAACAGGCCATGGAGGCCCATAAAGTTTTGAGACGTCGAGGCTCCCACGCTGTCTAGACAGTTATCTCATCGATGGCGGTGAGGTTGTCAGCCTTACTCATCGACCGCCCTTTACTCTCAGGAAGATTCCTGGTACTCATTTCTGTCAGAGGCTCAGTCGACTCCAAGGCCATGGTGCGGCTGGAAGGTTTAAGTGAATTCAAAAATTCAATGACCTCCTCTGGAATGCACCCACCGTTGCATGACGTCACCGCGGACACAGCCTTCTCTATTG